ATTTATAAAATCAGAATTTATTATTGGTAACTGTACTGACAGTTACTACTTGATAAATCTTTTAACATGAGTCCAATAATCGCACAGTTCGTATACTGAAACATATGTAGTGACTCACATTTATCACGAGAACACGACTGGTTTAATAAAAGCAATTATTATTATAACCAACTGTACCAGTGTTTGTTTTAACGTGCTTTTGTTTGACTGTGCTAATGACAGCTATTTTGTGCTTCCATTCTTTTACTTACACTTCGATTGTAACTTCGCACGAATTCGGTTACGTTCTGTAACCAAGCTTGTATCATGGCACGATCTCGGTATCCTTTCGATGCCACGAGATGGCCAGCGAATACATCTCGATTTGGTCCATTAATTGCCTTCTGATATTTGGCTTCTCGGGGATTTTATGGATCTATTTGGTTACGTCCAACCCTCGCCTTCTGATTTATTTGGCACGTGTTTCTTGGTAGCGGTGTTCATAGTTAATCTCGACTCGACGCCACGCTACACTATAAACCATGGTATATAGTAGGTCATGTATGTTTTTACGTTCCGTTCTCCACTCTACTGTATCTAATGTCTTTTCGATTCCCAAACGTTTTTCCATTCATAAGGCGTCTACAATGTTCACAGTAGTTCCTATTAACTGTTATTTCCTTCATTTTAGAATTTCAATGTTCACACTAGTACTAAACGTTGATCAATTTTATATGAAGTTTCTTGCTATAGTTCATAGTTGCTGTAGGATTTTGAATTACTGGGACGTCGTTTACTACCACGATGCGTAGCGATGACCGTCAGTAGTTTGGTTTGTTACAGTTTGTATTTGCACGTGGAATTTAAAAGCTTTTAATGTTGATTATCAATAAATTAGAGCGTGTAGCTTTAACGAGTAAAAGTATTTGATTTAAGAACCGAATGTGACCACGTAATCAATAGATTCATAAATGTTCACCTTTCAAACAGACAGTGAACTGTCATCGTATCCAATGGTTGTTGTAAATGTACTATTGAGTGTAGGTAGTTTTGGTGATTAAATGATTACATGCATGCTCAATACAGCCGTAGCCAATTATTTCATAATTCAATACCAGATATTATATTTATGATAATCAGAAGTATTCAAATCAACGTACTAATTAATGATTCCCCAAATGGTGCAATTTAAATCATGTAGAACTAGATGAGCACAAATGAACGTATTATATTTTAGTGGCCAGGCATCTGACTCCAATAAGATCGTTTCTGAGTGCTATTGAGATATACATATAGTTATTCCTCGTATAAAATTATCGACTTAGATCGCTGTTATATCCGGTGAAGATTAAATTACAGGTAAATTCCAAGGACTATTCATGGACTAATATTCTATAAATATTCTTATTGTATAACTACTCAACAATTACACCATGTATATTTATATTCATTTTATGATAAGCTTTATTTTGACCTATAACTTATTATTGTACGATTTACGGTTCTTAAGTTATGTTCTGTTTATTAACTACTGCCTCCCACATTCACAGCCACTTTTTGGGCTTATTTGTGTACAAATATTACTTTCTATTTTATGGTACGTTGCGGTCTGTGTGATTGATATATAAACCAAGTATGCCTGAACTAAACGATCTGCTCTGATTCGGAAGCTGGTATCTTGTTCTGGACTCAAGTGGAAGCGCTCGTAGGACATAGGACCAATAAGGACGTTAAACTGCCCACACCGGTTGAACGTCATTGGTTAGCCTAGTGTGAAGATTCGTATAAGTCGTATTCGGATTGGTAGATAAGTCGTGTGATCGAAAAGTCAGACATCCAAGGCCATAACAATCGCGTTAGTGAATAATGGAATTAAATAAGTCAAATACGAGAAAGGATTTCCGATTACATATATTTTGTTCAATCATTGATCTGAACAGATACTCAGAGAGACGCAGAGAAGAAGAGAGAGCGAAACGACACTCAGTGGAGAAGGCATGTGAGCCAACACCTTTTATTCAAGCGTTAATCAATAATTATAGTCACACAAAAATAAGCTACACATGTGATGAATAGGATGAAAAGTGTACACACACATACGCTGATATGAAAACAGCCAAGGTTGATAAGTGAATAATTGACAATGTCAAAAAGTGACTCAAGTAGAATGAATAGATTAGCCTGTACAAAAGCTAGAATAAGGTATATAGGCTAAACATTTCAACCCAAACTACAATATTTTGGCGAATGATCTTCTTGCACTGTCCAGCTATCAAACGGAGGTTTTCAAAAACAAACTAGATGCAATGAGGCCCAGAGACAAAAGTAATTTATGACCAAAAGGGTGGAGAACTGTAAATTGTTTGGACCAAAACTGCTAACAAATACAACAGAAACAAAGTACTCAGAAGTATCGACGATAAACTACTTTGGAATCAGAAACGATACTCTAAGCGGATACTTTAAGTGAAATAAATTCAATTAAAGTGTAAACAGTGGTTTTGTTACGTAATAAAAGATCAAAACAATAGAATTTACTCAATGAGAAAAAATACCGCTATCTTTTCTAAACAGCGCGCGAAGATCACACAAAAATAATTTGTATATTTATCATTTTCTTAAATCGTTTACAGATGGAGGTAACCAATGAGCGTAGAGTGAACTAACGTAGTTTTGAGATTGGGTACAATATAACAATATCCAGATACAATTTACTGGGATTTATGCGCAAACAAAAGCGAACGAATGAGGTTGTTCAATTCCTTTCAAATCCAATCAACAAAGAGTTCAACTTAAAACAATCTTTTGTGTATATTGTTATGTACCAAACAAACTGTCAATCATATTAACATAAAATTCGTTTATTTGCCTTTATACTCACGGACACAAATCCTAACATATCTAAATCATGTTGGATTATTGCGCTTTAAATATAACGTGATCGCAGTTCATTACACCATCATGATTTTATTTGGATGTAAAAGATGATTATTCAAGCTTGAATATCTTGAAATGAAAGGCCTACGAGAATCTAACATTCTCGATATAGAAAAAGACGGTCAGTAACAGAAAGAAGTATATTTCTGTGTGAGCACAAGACATGAACACGCGTTTCGAGTTTAAGATTGGATAAGTCTAGACAAAGTAATCATCTATTGATGACTCGACAGAATATGAGGAACATTGACTTCATAAGCATGACCCTTGTTCCTCACTCAACTTGAATGAATTTGATGTCAAAATATTAAATAAACAATTGGCAAGACAAGCAATATTAGGAATAAAACGGAAATAGTAGTGAAGAGAGCCCGTTAGTGAAAGCTTCCGAATTTGAATGTATATCCAACTGCCAAATTAAAGGCTCCATCTCGACGCCATAATAATAATTAGAAGTATCCAACCTGATTTGATAACTAAGAATTCCCGAAATAGTGCAATCTAAAGTGGATAGAACTCAATAAACACAACTGGACGTGTTATATTTGGAATTCGTAATAAGCTATGAATCGAGTGCAAAGGAATCATTATTTAGTACAAATACCACAATTATATATTGAGTATACATTGATGTGAAAAATTCTAATCTGTAATTATTTATTGACTGACCGTCTGGTTCGGTTACATTGGAAACAGTAAGAGCAGATCAATATTTCAAGCAACTAGTGGAGTAGAATTACTTACCAATCTTCAAATATTTGAAATTTATAGAACACTATTATCCAGTGTCTTTGGTTTATTGAAATTATAATTTCTGTTCAACCTCAAGCTTATCCTGTAGTTATGTAAGTCGGATGCAGTACAACACGTACATGGGAGTATGGCCACAAAAATTTCGAATTTCTAAGCAATGTTGGACATGGATTACAGCAATATTACTTCACAACAATTAGTAAAGTTTCCAAATAATTTTGGTTAAAAATACTTTATATTGCGAAGCCGTTCAGAAGTGTACTAATGTTGAAAACCCATCAGTGCATAGAACCAAAGGGATTTAGAAAACAAGCATAAATCGAAGTACGAAAGCTTTTTAAGAACCAATAAATGTATCGAGTATCACAAATTTAAACAGCAAACGTTATCGATTAGAGAAGACGTTGACCCCAACAATCAAGTTGCGGATTTCAGATTATTTATGTGATAAGTAAACAAACTGGTGAAAGGAATATTTCAGAAATACTCTCAGTAAAGTACAGTTTGGGATGTATTCGCGTCTGAATACATGCAGCACGTATCATGAAATTTTGAAAATTTCGATTGCTTTACACGAAAATCACAGCTTGTAGTTCAGTTTTCACCAAACAACCTAAGTTACCTGCTTTCAACTAATAAGAAAATGAGCCGAACACACAAACAGTCTGTTGACTGTGCTTTTGATGTCCTTGCCAAGTAACCATGATTGTGTATAGAAGTAAAATTATCAAGTACGACGTCACTAATGGTCAGTTGTGACTTGTAGTGAATAGTATTAGAATGGAAGCACCAGGATTTCACTAGAATTTGGTAGTGTTTTCTAGAGAGTTCTGGTGAATAGGGCGTAATATGTGTTGACACAGAGCGAACATATGTGAACGTAGACTAGACAGGGCGAGAGAAATCTAGAACTTTCGAGAAAATGTCCTTCAATGACCAATCAGATTTGGACTTAATTACATCGTAGAAATATTAGCGTTCTGATTGGTTGTTACCCGTTTAGAGGTCATTGAATAATTTCTCTCACCCACCACTATATAAGTAAGTTAAACAGTCGAGCATTCAACGCATATTGTTGTTCTATTTCTGTTATCGTGTTGAATATGTCTGGTGGGCAACATCATCAAGCAGTTAGTATTCCTGTGAATCGTGAGCAACGGTCATTTGAGAGGCAGAGACGTGACCTGTTAACTGGCCTGGAACACGGAGGTGGTACTCATCGTGGCAACCTAATCGCACCGTACACGGAAGACTGGCCGAGTACTGTGGACAGCTGGATCAACTCCTCGTGGAGGAGATGGGATGAAGACATGCGACGTTTGAGACGTGGAATGTTCGCGCTATTAGTGAGTTTTGCTATTCAGTATTCAGGTGACCATTAATGCATATGATTTCTTGAGATAATGTTTATCATTTGTGTATGTTAGGAGTGCAATAATGCATTGTGTGGACAGATTTCGCATAAAATTCGAGGAGAGATTTGATGAGCTCGGTATGTTCTTTGAATTTCAGCCGTTGGACAACTTCACCCACGGTATTTGGGAGAATCCATTCGCTTTAATGCACCAAATGGATCGTCATATCCAGGATATCCGAGAGAGAATGGGCTCAATGGATGTTCCGTCGACCGGTTCAGTGAGTGACTTTTTGAAGGACGCCTACGAAATAGGTGAGGATGGCAAGGTGAGTCCGTGCTGACGAGCAGGTAGGTTGTGTTTATTGTTTTGTGCAGTTGGTTTGAACATGGCCGTTGATTGACGAGTGTTATTATGGTTGTTGTTTATTGCGTAGGTACATTTCAAGGTACGATTCGACGCACAAGGTTTCGCTCCTCAGGACATCAATGTGACGTCGAGTGAGAACCGTGTGACGGTACACGCGAAGAAGGAGACGACGACCGATGGTGGGAAGTGTAGTCGGGAGTTCTGTCGTATGGTGCAGCTGCCGAAGAGTATTGATGATAGTCAACTGAAATGTCGCATGACAGATGTAAGTTGTTGAGTTGACGACTGTGGTTGGTGGTGGTGGTGGTGGTGGTGGTTTTGTGTGTGTTGTATTTCCAGTTGTTTGCATTCCGAATCATGTTAGAATAGTTGGAAGTCTCGTTTCATCTTGTTCTGTGCGTTTGTTTGTCTATCCGTTTCAGGATGGTGTTTTGATGTTGGAGGCTCCAGTGAAGGTTGATCAGAACCAGTCGTTGACGCTGAACGAGTCTGGTCAGGTGGGTGTTCGACCGAAATCGGACAATCAGATTAAGGCAGTTCCTGCGTCTCAAGCACTTGTTGCAAAAGGTGAGAGGAGTTGTGATTGATCTGGTGGGTGTGTTATTCTCGTTTGTGTGTGTTGCATTTTTCTAACATTGTATTTTTCCCTATCCATTTCAGGTGTTCATGGTCTATCGTATGTGGATGATGGTTCAGGTGGCAAGCGATTGCATGTTGAGGTTCCAGTGGACCCAGTGTACAAGCCTGAAGACTTGTGTGTGAATGTTGATTCGAATCGTGTTGTGGTTAGTGGACGTCATCATAAGCAGAAGAGTGGTCAATATGGAAAGTCAAGTTCATTTGCAGAGTTCAGTCAGTCGTATGCGATTCCCGAGACAGTTGATCCGTTATCTGTTTCTGCTCAGGTAGTTGGCAATACATTGGTATTGGAGGCGCCATTGGAGAAGCAACATGCAATTACTCACTAGAAGAGAATATGTTTTACTAAACTAATCGTTGATTAATGTTAAAATATTGATGTGATTTTTCTGAATAAATATTTTTGAATTGCATTCGATCCCATGTTATTTATTTCGTGATCAGCGTATTCAGTTGACTTGTTGAACGTTTACTTTCTGGTGTGCGGTTGGTAGGACGATAGTTTGGTTTTGATTTACATGTTGTTCCTGCGTTCAGATTCTGTGAAATTGATTTTTCATTGGGATTTTCGTGACTGCATGCTTGTTAATGTTGTGAATGGAGCGTGGACGTGGAGAAATAGAAGACGGTTGATGAGTGTGTAGGGTATCACTTCACGACTAAATATTATTATTGCTCTTTGAGTAGACTTCTCACTAGGACTATTCGTAAGTACCACTTCTCCCCAATTGTAATAAACCAATAATTACTGAAGCGTAATACGAATTTAGAAATGGGCCTCATTAATAAACGCGAATACGTTGTCACGATCTATAAAATCCAGGCCAAAGATCCTAAATGGGTTTATTGTATGATAGCTTATGTAATCAAGCAGGATTGTTTTTCGATTTTCAACCTATATTAACATCAATCTCATTAACTTTCGAGACAACTCACATCTTGCTTCTGGTTGTGACTCGTACTAACGGCCTATTAATTTTTGTCATTTTGAAATTTGTATGGAATGTATGGATATTTATCCCTTTTTATTTATATGGGAAGTTATGTCACTTGGATTTTCCTAATAACAACTTATCTACGGTTAATTTTGCCTTATATAACCGGTGATTCATTCACTTGGATTCACTATTAGTTGAATTCATGTGTCTTGAGAATGGTCAAATCAAATTCAACGTTTTAATTTTTTAATGTGTATTCTAATTAGGTTTGTTGTTTTGGTTATCTTTATTTAACTCTATGGTACTTTTTAGTGTTAAAACCTCAATCTACTTCAACTCACCTTGTAGAATAATGTGGTATGTCAACTGAAGATGTAATGTGCATTTAAGTTTGCAATGAACTTCAACTCTTGAAGCGTTACGAATCACCGGGTCTAGATGACTTGCGTCCGGCTCTTTTTAAAGGTGGTTATGACATTCTGACTAAGGAACTGACGGCATTGTTTACAAAAGTCTGGGAGATTGAGTGTGTGCCAACGCCATGAAATGAGTTGATAGTTGTCTGTATCTTTAAAAACGATTCACGTTGTTCCTGTAATAACAATCGGGGTGTAAGTCTACTTCCGACTGCGTCCAAGCTATTGGCTTCCGTCATACTTTGTAGGTCATACTCGAGGACGATTGACTCGCGAGGGGTAGTCTGGTTTTCGTTCTAGTCGCGGATGTAATGATCATATCTTTACCCTCCGCTAAATGCTAGAACACCGTCATACTTACCAAAGGTCAAAAATGGTAGTGTTTCTTCACATCAGAACTGCCTTCGATTCGTTGGATAAGACTGTTCTTTGTGATTGCTTATTGAAGAAGCCCTATATACAAACACCTCAGGCAGGGTGAGGGCATACAACCACCTCTCTCCATTGTTCCATTCAAGCAGTGGGGTTAGACAGGGTCACCCAATCTCGTCATTCCTCTTCAACTTTGCCATCGATGACATTCTGGAAACAGCTCTGATGGATGTAAGTAATGGCGGTGTGGATTTATTGCTTGGAGAAAGACTTCTCGAACTTGAGCGTGCGGATGATGTTGTCTTGCTGTGCGATAATGTCCAAGCCATGCAATATGCACTTAATCAGTTGGCAATCAGTGTCCGTAGGTATGGTATGTGCTTTGCACCTTCGAAGTGCAAAGTACTTCCACAAGACTGGAAGGATTCTAATCCTGTACTCACCTTGGGTAGTGAGCAGATATAAGTAATCTAGAAGTTCGTGTATTTGGGTAGCTGCATAAGTGCTGGTGGTGGCGTGAGTGATGAGATCAGTGCTGCTGACATCCAGTGGCAACACCATGTTAGCAATGCAGAGGTTCAGCTTCGTGTGTTCGGTCACAGAGACGAAAATACAATTGGTGTCACCATCTTGAAAACCGACTTCGGTGGCTTGGACATGTTCTCCGAATGTCGTCCCAGAGAATTCCACGTCGTGCATTATTTGCCGACGCTGGGACTGATTGGAAAAAGCGGAGAGGTGGTCAGTGTATGACATGGTATTGTGGTATGAAATAAAGCTGCAAAGGGCTGACTTCTGTTGGTCTTTCACTACTCCCTTGCTGGGGTCCGAGAGATGGTGCAACACAGTGGCTAGAGACGTTATCAGATATGGCTGAGAATAGAAGCCAGTGGCGATCCTGCTGTAACCTTCCTTTACTTTCTTCATAAAAAGTGCTTGTATCTTCCTAAACTGAATAATTTCTTTTGGTTGTACCTTTCCGTTTCCCTCATTATTATTATTAGTAGTAGTAGTATTAGTAGTAGTATTAGCATTACATTACCTTACACTAATCTGGTCGTTATTGTTCCTCCTTTTTCTTTTACGCTCCTTACCTTACTTTTTTTCTCTTCGAATTCTCATTGTTTTGTGTGGCGCATATATATTTGGTGCCCCCTTGTACCAATATTTATGTGTCCAAATAAAATAAAATAAATAATAATAAATATCTAGTACTTCTTCATCCAATTGCATTATTTCTGGGATTCTTAGTTCGTACTATAATTCTAATACTCCTAATTTTCACACTCTGGTTGATTCGTCCATGAACTATGGTCCTGTCGATTACTCAGAAATTCAACACTAACTATTTAAAACTTATTCTGCAGATAAATAATGGTTTGTAAGGGCCAATATTATTAAAACACCAACTTGATTATAAACATTGCTCGCCGTAGTTAAAAATAATTTAAACTGATCAAGTGAATAAACAATGAACTGTTGCATAATCGAAGCAATTAAATGACTGTTTTAATAATGTGAACATAACAAATGGGTTATCCAATCACTATATACATATCGTATTCTTTCTAATCTCATCACGAAGTGTCAACTTGCATGGTTATTAAAAGCAAATTGTAAGTCAACTGACAGCTGCATTATCGAACATCTTATCTATTCCATCCACGATTAGAATTAAAAAGTACACACTAATAGAACCTTATCTAAGTTCTTCAAGTAGAAAATTAATTGTCATGATTTCCATCTGTAAAGTATTTTCATATCACTTTTCCATCAATCTAATTGTCATTATATGAACACTTCTTGATACTTGAAAATTCCGTTAACAGCATCATATCAATCTATTTATTCAGAAGGTTACTATATCCAATAAATCAATAGAAATATAATTAGAGAAGGATGGTAGCTAGCAGTGGAATCCAGAATGTGTGTTTCATCTTTTCAAGGTTCTATTACATAAAGATAATTTGTAGATTTATTCTCTTCTTAAATCTTTTGAAGATGGTGGTAACCTATGAGCGCAGACTGAATTAACGCAGTTTCGAGATTGTGTACATATGATGATTAGGAGTATTTGGATTATAGTGCAAACTAGGAATTCAAGAAATAACGCAATTTAACCAAGAAGAACTAGGTGACCACGAACCAACATATTTTATTTGGAACTCGAAATCAAGCAGTCATCAAGTACTAAGGAATTATTAGTTCACACAAACACCACATCCGCCACAGATTAAATTGGAGTCCAACTTTCTGTAATCCATTGTACGTCTTCTCCTTAAGTTCATCCTATGTCTGTCCAATAGTGTATTGAACAACGACTCTGTATTATCTAAAATGTACTCATTAGTATTAGAATTAATAACGGAAATTGGAACGGACTCGCCTGGGTCCTGGAATTGTATTTGATCAACGTGTCAGTTGTGTAGTGAAACAACAGATATCTAGAATTTGAATCATAGACTTTATAACACTACCCAAATAAATATGCATTGATATGTGTAATTAACACATGTGATTCATCTAGGCTTGATTCACCTGCAAAACAATCAAATGGAAAATATGCATCTGCCTCACACTCATTAGGATAATCTTGGTCTCCATTTTGATTTTCTGCCTGTGTAAACTTCATATCTAGGGAAACTGGTTCCCTGTCTACTTCGAGAAATTTCGCTTTTCCCTCTGATCCGTCATACCACTGACTAGGGGTTCCACTCAACATACATTGGTTGTGAAGACATCCAACATCTGATACAATAACATCAGAAATGTGACTAGAATTCGACTCCTTCGGAACATATTCGTCACATTCATTAGGAATATCACTAGAGATAAATCCATTGTGAGGACAAATGGCATTTGATATGACATCAGAATTTGATTTTTCTGAAATATTTTCATCAAATTTATTAAGAATATGATTGGAGAGTAATGGATCATTGGAAAAATCAGCATCTATCAAAACTGCATCAGGTTTTCGATCATGATTAAATTCACTCAACGTATTTTCCTCAGATTTGTAAGAAATATGAAATCATAAGGAAAAACATATTCGATATAATAACATGAGAAATCTGATAAGCAGTTGGTTGATTAGAAACTGTTGTCTCCGAATGATTCTAAGTTTCAATTGACTCCGGAATCCTATGTGACTCTATACAGCTTTTCGAAGTCGACATTTGAACTCATCATTTTCAGAAACAATTTTAGTCGTTATGAGATTTGGATAAACTATAATATTTTTACTCAGAAACTTACCAAAAGTGCGAACATCCCACGCCTTAGTCTGTGCATCTCATCATCCCAACTGCGCCAAGATGAATCAACCCAATTATCTATCACATCCGACCACGTATCAGTGTGTGGAGTATTTGCAAGCCTAGGTCGTTTTCTTCCTTTATGTCTATGCTGTAATCCGGTCAGCATTTCACGCCTGTGTTGTTCAAACGTTTTTGGCTCCTGGTTTATCGGTATATCTACTGACTTGTGTTGATGGTTATTTTTCAACATCATCATCCAACACCTTGTTAAAAATAGACTTCAGGCAAAGCAACAATGAAAGATTGAAAAACAAAATGATACAGATAATCATATGATTTATAG